CTTCGTATGAGAAGGATTCTTCGTAATTTGGAAAAGTTGATCAGTAAAATTAATCAATACAAATATCTTGCTGAAACGACAGAATATATATATATATATATATATATATATATATATAGTGCTCGATACAATAAACCAGACTATATATTAATAAATATGCATGTTTTGCTCACCAGTTATACGATTTGCAATCTTCAGCACCTGAAGTTTACCTTGTGCATGGGACTCCGAGTCGCGCTACCGGTGAGTAAAAATGTATATTCATTAATATATATTTTAATATTTTCTGTTTATACGTTTTTTTATGGATACATCTTATTTGAGTAAATGCTCTGTCTTTTAATCAAGCCCATATTAATTATATTTACCGGTTTGAATGTGCGAGAAATTTCGTAGAAAATATGGCTCCTCCAGCAGGAATCGATCCAGTATCCTATACGGAACCGTCATTTGCCTGCACGTGCAATGACCTTCCAGCCTCGGAGGACTTCCAGTTTAGGAAAGCTCAAATTACTGCTTTTGAACACAAACCTTCGCCGATTTTTCTCGATCTATCATATCTGCTCAGAAATTGTAGCCTACGGGAAAAATGATAACATATTATATTAAATGGATTACATCTGACAAATATTTTAATATATTTTTTTTTATACGTTTTGCTTCTTTTTTTTTTAATGGATGCACTTATTTGAGTAAATGCTTTGTTTTTAATTAAACAGTATTAATTACATTTGCCGGCCTGAATGTTCGAGAAATTTCGTAGAAAATATGCGTCCTCCAACAGGAATCGAACCTGCATCCCATATATATATATATATATATATATATATATATATATATTCTAAAGATCTAGGGCAACATCACGGATGATGTGCCGCGGTCATCTTATGTTTTTTCTAAATTTATCATTCTGAATTTGTCAATGACATTCGGGAACAGACCAGATGACAATCAGAGAATAGCTCTGGTGGCGACTGAAAAGATAGTGGGCAGTTCAAAATGATGGCTAAATGGTTTGGTTTGGTTTATTACGTATTTATTTACGTATTATCAACCTCAATGGGTTATTTAATGCCAACAACGTTTTTTTTTTGTTTTTTGTTTTTTTGTTTTTTTGCTGGTAATATTTTGTTTTTTCAAAAATCTTGTTTCTGGTAATATTTTTCCTTCAAAAATGTATTGCTGGTAATAATTAACTATTTGCCCATAGCTGGGAACCTAACAGGTGCTACCAACCCGGGTCATGGTGGATCTGAGGACACCAGAAATTAAGAGGTAGTTCCACGGTCCTCAAAACCTCCTGATCAGAGGCCTCCCTGCTGAATGTAGTTTATCGTCTTACCCAGTACGCGGATATAGTTCAACGTCTTACCCAGGACGACGGCTAAATGGATTAGCACCGCAAATAGCTTCCCCCGCAAAAGCTACGAGTCAAACAATTAATCCCTATCAGCACAGGCATTTTAGTTTCAACACAGGACATTTTTAAAAGACTGCAAGATCGAAATGCATCTCTGGGAAAGAATGAAACAATCACCGAGGTCTTATGGTCCACCAGACTGGTTATCTTATGTGTTTCTAAGCTTTATATCTAATTCTGGAACTAATAATTTGGAATTAAATAAGCAAATACTATATCAATTCTGTATCCAATATGTCCAGCTGAATAGACACTAGGTTTCTGCGTCATAGAATATTTGTTAATATAAAAGTAGCTATGTGAAACATTTGCCTGCGGTAAACGCTTTTCCAGGTCAATATTACAAGGATAATTATCATTTCATTTTGACCGTTTATTATCTTTTATATTAATCGATCTCACTCTATTCTTATCGATCCAGCTTTCAATTCCAGCCTGGACGGAAACGTTCTGCATAAGGGTCGTCTGCTCCTCAAAAGGTCAGTAAGGATTTGAAAGACTCAAAACGGCGGAGTTAGATATTGAATCTAAATTTGTCTGTTTGTATGAACCTATTTCAGTCTGTTTAAAACAGTCTTTTCATGAAAAATTCTCTCCTCTTCATCTTATATTAATTCCTGTCGGTTTTTAAGTCCCTGTCGTCTCATTTATCTTTCGTTTTAAAATAGCAAGCATAATGTTATATACCAGGTAACCAAAAATGTCACTCTCGTTTTGGATTTATTAGAAAAAAGGTATACATCTACGCTGACGACACTACTATTTACTCCTGCCTCAATAGTAAATCCGGCATTGTTGACAAAACTAACATGTCCGTAGGCGTCGAGAAGGACCTCCAATCAGTGGAGTGAATATATATATATATATATATATATATATATATATATATATATATATATATATATATATGGTGGACTCTCCGGTCGTATTCGACGTATGAGGGACAAGCAGCTCAGTTCCTAGGAACTGACAACCCGGACACCAGCACATATGATTTGATTATAGTGGGGAAGGCATTATGCAGAACCAACAACACTTTTTGAAGAGACGAATACAGCGACCTTGTGCACTACGTGCCATAAGGTCCCCAAATAACCCTCCGCAGGTTTTGAATTCAGAGTTGTCCTTCTCCTAGACTAGTTGCCATCCAAGGCTATAGAACCCAGTCCGTCCTATTTACCCATAGCTAGAGGGAGAAGAAGAGGATTCATACCTTTCCCAAGGGTATTAGCACGTAATTGAATGTAATGGGCTCGACTGGAATTCGAACTCGGCTCTCCGATTCCTCAATCCGAGCCACTACTCCACCGTGCCTCCATATTTTACATTATATATATATATATATATATATATATATATATAATATTCATATAATACAAGGCCCAATAAAGCCTGAAAGCCACTGAAGGTAGTGAGTTACTGTGTGGCCATGTCTGTGTAGGAAAGTACAAGTGTTAGGTGTATAAAGCTGGAGGAGACTTTAGAAGGAACCGGAAACCCAGTCCTAAACAGGAGACAAAGGATGAACCTTCTACTCTTGTTCAAAAGACCGGGAAGAGTGTGAACCGGACGATAGTCTAACCGATCTATTTCTATTAAAATTTGTTTTGTTCATGAGGGAGAGTCGTCAATATCTTGGATTAAAGAGTTAGTAGATCTAAACGCTGTTTAGATTTACGCTGTTTTCCTTTTGAATGACAGATTTCTTGCGTTGTGTTAAATATCTTTTGTCTCCATCTACCCAAAGTAGGACGAGAGATGCCAAATATTGATATCCACCGTCATACACATCAGTGAAGCCACGAATGCACACTGTCCGCAAAATAGGATGATCTACTGAAAGCAGACTATTTTCTCCGTTGAGACAGTTAATATTTATCCTTCCTATTTGTAATGTCGAATACTGCATCTGTTTTTTGTTTTTTCCTAAACTTGCAGAGTTCTCCCACATTTCAGACGTTTTATTTCAATGCTTTCATGTATTTCATTTGTGAATATATATTTGCACGCTATTGTTTTCATTTCGGTTGATATATTCTACAGCCTTTCTCAGTTTCTTCCAAATAAAATATGGCATAATGAAAATTATTAGTAGTTGTTAAAACATATAGCAAACTGCGACGTACAAGTCGACCTGGCGTACAAGTCGACCTGAAGGTACTTACAGTATAGGTCGACAAAATATAAGTTAGGCTACCAATAACAAAATAAAACGGAGCGTCTAGCAAAAGTGGGACGAGGCATGCCAAATATTGATATCCACCGTTATACTTATCAGGGAAACCACAAAGGCTCACTGTCCGCAAGTTAGGGCGATCTATTGAAAGAAGACTATTTTCTCCATGGAAACGACAATTTACCATTTTTGACTTGCTCTCGTACGTATAAGGTTTACTTTCTTACATTTTTGAGTAATTTTTTTTATTAATTTAAGCATTACGACAGGACAGTCAAACATTCTAAATCTTTCCTAGTTAAATTTGAGCTTTAATAATTTTTATTCTTTAAAATTCCCCAACGGCGGTGAAAAATGACTGAAGCCGAGATGCCAGGTCAAAACCAATAATATTGCAGAATCTTCTTTGGAAACACGTGACTAATATTTAATTACACAATTTGGTCTTATCAGATTTATAGATGTTAAGAGGTTGCATGCTGTGGTGTATTTTAGGTGTGTGAATGTTCACATATGATAAACAAAGAATCATACAAAAATTTGTATTTCTACTACCGACTGTTTATTCTTTTTAATGTTTTAATGGTGACTGTAGTGAAACGAAGTTTTAAACCATCCTTGGGTATGTCCATTTTCGTTTTTCGGTTCAGAAGATAGAGTAAGTAAAGATAAATATAGTTAAAATGGTCGAGCTCGTGTTGGATTTGCGCTGTGTTGGAACAACCAAATTACTTTATGAGTAGGTCTGCAACGCACGTCCTAACGCTGTCGTTGGAAAGTGGAAAAAGAGAGAGTCAGTTGTCAGTTCGCCAGGGAAACTAACGTGTCCCAGTAGGACCGTCCTTTTTCCACGTATTGCTACATCTTGAAAAATGTTCGTTTTTTTTATAGATTTAATCAGCGCCGCTTAACGGAGTTTGACGAAACCAAATGGAGGGAGGTAATCATATTTTCGGTTCTTTTACTCTTAGCATCATGATAAAATGTATTTCTTTGTCTTTTTTTTTTTTCATTAATATCATTTTATTTATCGATTTTATTTCATTTTCCGACAATACATTTTTGCAAATGAAGCATAAAAACATTCCAAACGTGGATCTATCTGCGCGCATTCTCAAATGACCTTTCGATAGGACATTTGAGAAGAACCTATTTCCTTTACAATTAATAAGAAAACTAGGCCGTGCGTTGAGAGCCCAGATCAAACACACTTTCGACGTTTGAAAAGCCACTCCATCAAAGCGGTCGCAGGAAGTATTTAAAGATAATCCAATTGGAGAAGCATGTACAGAATTATCTCCCTTGCTTCTATGTTGCGTGAGCGTATTCAATGCGAGAAAGTCTCTCAATAAATTGTCTCCTTCAGACGTCACTAGTCGACGTGGCGTGTCAAACAGTTTTTCTTTAATATTGAACGATTGTTTGCGATGACATATTAAAAAAAATCAATTTATAATACTCTGGAAGTGATGGAATGAGGTTTTCCCCTTGAAGCTGTCATGGAAATGTTGTATATTTGTTATCTTGTTGTTGGTCGTTATGCTGTTTTTATTTTATTTTTTTATTTTTTATTTTTTTTTTAGGAGAATGAAAATCAATACCTGAACATTTCTATATTTCGCCTTGAATGGTAAATATGTAACCAGCGCTTGCCAACAATTCCAAAACATCGTCATTCCAATTCGTTCCTGCTTTAACTGCGCGACATTTTCCATGCAAGAGAGAAATGATAATTTACAAATAACAAGTAAATACAATACGACGAACGTTTATTTTTATTATTTGTTCCTGATATACGAGACAATATATATATATATATACACACACACAAACACGTACCCAGATAGATAGATAGATAGATAGATAGATAGATAGATAGATAGATAGATAGATAAAGAGGAAGAAATAGATATTAGATATAAGATAGATAGATAGAAATAGATAGATAGATAGATAGAGAAAGGAAGAAATAGGCAGATATTGACCGATATAAGATAGATAGATAGATAGATAGATAGATAGATAAAAAGGAAGAAATAGGCAGATATTGACCGATATAAGATAGATAGATAGAAAGGAATAAATAGGCAGATATTGACCGATATAAGATAGATAGATAGATAGATAGATAGATAGATAGATAGATAGAATAAAAAGGAAAAGAAATAGGCAGATATTGACCGATATAAGATAGATAGATAGATAGATAGATAGATAGATAGATAGATAGAAAGGAAGAAATAGGCAGATATTGACCGATATAAGATAGATAGATAGATAGATAGATAGATAGATAGAAATAGATAGATAGATAAAAAGGAAGAAACAGGCAGATATTGACCGATATAAGATAGATAGATAGATAGATAGATAGATAGATAGATAGATAGATAGATAGATAGATAAAAAGGAAGAAATAAACAGACAGATAGATAGATAGATAGATAGATAGATAGATAGATAGATAGATAATCGCCTATGGTATGAAACTGTGTCACCGGCATTGATTTCTATTTCCACTGTTTATAAATATTCAAAAAATTAAATAAAACACATTGATAAATAAAATATATATGCAAAAAGGGTTTGATGATAATGCCACTCACTATGAAGTGTTGATTTTGTTCTACAGTATCTATCTTCAAATGCTCTGTATCAAACACTCCATTTAGATAGATAGATAGATAGATAGATAGATAGATAGATATGAATCGAATCCGATGACAGCATTAGGCGGGAAAATGCAGTGTCCATTTCTATATATACACAGTTTATATCTACAAACCCGCTATCCCGGATATTAAGTATTTCCCCATCCCCGTAAATATAGCAAATTCTATACCAGATAGATAGATAGATTGATAGATAACCATTCCAGATGTGAAAATACCAATCGCCACACATCTTTTTATTTTTTATCTCCATATATTTTCTATCTAGAAAAATGTTATATATTGAGTATTTCCCCCCAATAAATATCGTAAATTTTAAACCCAGTCATGGCTGTCGGACAATTTCTGCGACCACATCACCCTTTATATCTGGCTACCTAACTCCCCAGATTGCAACCCTCTTGATTATTATGCGTGGGGAGCAGTTGAGCGAGAGACCAACAAAAATCCTTGTAACACCAAAGACGAACTGAAGACAAGAATTATGGAAGCATTCACCACCTTGTATAGGGGTGTATACCAAATTATTTTTCTACTTCTATTTTTCCTATTCTTTCCATTTTCCTTTTTTATATAAGTTACTTTTGGGCTTTTGTAGCCACTATCTTTTAGAGCTTTATTATAGAAATTAATATGTTCATAGAAAATCTTCTCATTTGCTGAATTTTTACTTATTCTTTTTTCGATAGACGTGACAAACTGTACAAATTCATACAACCAAATGGTAAAGAACAAATTAGGACAAAATTTCTCGCATTAATAGTTAAGCACTTTCCTTGAGTAAAGTAAACTAGGTACTATTTTCAATAAAAAATACACTAAAATTAAGTTACAGCTGTACTGAAAACTTAGAAAAAATTATTAAGAAACATAATGCTAATATCTTCAATAAACACTTAGACCAAAGCCAAAGAAATTTAGACAATATAAAAATAAAAAGAGATGAAGATAAACAAAAATTATGTAACTATAGAAATTCTCATAACTGTCCTCTACAAAATAAATGTCGCACGGAATCATTAGTATACCAATGCAATATCCCATCTATTGAGAATCCCGAAAACATAAACATCTATATAGGTTGCACAAGCCATGAGTTCAAAAAGAGGTTCAATCAACATCAAGCTTCCTTTAGGATAAATAAATACAGAAATCAGACATCCCTTTCGAAATATTTCTGGTACTTAAAAGAAACCAATAAAACACCTACAGTAAAATGGAAATTAATAAGAAAGGCTAGAATATGTAGGTCATTAAATGACCCATGTCCTTTGTGCATATATGAGAAACTATATATTACTAAGTTTATAAAAAATAAAAATTTACTGAATCAAAGAAATGAAATAGCTATTCTTTGGCGTCATTGTTAAAAAATTTTCCTTAAATAATATTTAAAAATAAAATAAAGTAAAATAAAAAATGGGAGCTGGTAATATACATACTTATACGTGATATGAAAAAATAATTTTAAATAAAGAAATTCTATCACATTTACTTGACTTAAAAAGAAATATAGTCTATTAGTAATAAAGAGTAAAATAAATTTTAAATTGTAGTTAAATACAACGAATTCTAACCCAAACACCCCTTTTAGAAAGAATCTTTGAGTATACAAGTACGAAAAATATGCCTAAAAATTTTGTCGTTAATAATAAAAAAAAAACAGACTATATGCGTTTAACGGATAACAGAATTCGTTGAAAAATACACCTCTAACCTCCCTAAACTTAACGTCTTTTTCGAACATAACTCATAATTGATACAACAATAGTTAATAAAAATGAACACGCTACCGCCCCTGTCTGAATGATTGGATTTCTCTGTATCCTTAGAAACAGGAAATTATAAATTTATAGGTGCGTTTAAAACTCGGTAAATTTAAAAATATGTTGTTTCAAAATTCGCTTGAAGATGAAACAGAGCTAATGCTTTTAATTTAATTATATAATAAAATTTAAAGTTTTTAGCTTCAGATTTTGAAACATGGTTATTACTGTGTAGCGAAGGAACCATATTTTAAATCAGTTAATTTATAATATTCATGCTCTGTAAATTTACATTGAGCACTGTTATGTAAAAATAAAAATATCATTAAGAACACCGGATTATATATCTTACTGTTCTTCCTTTACACACACATATATATATATATATATATAAAATTGTCCTAATTTTTGTTTGCATTATTCGTTGTTATTCAGGTTAAAATTCTTACTATTGTTTCAAACATGAGCTTTCAGTCAGGTCTCCATATTTGAAATTCGGATCTGAAGTTTTGAAATTAAATATTGTCATTCTTCGCTTAATTGTTCAGAGTATGGTTTTCACCTTCAGTCGGAACAGAAAAGAGTCTATGCCGACCTACATTGTGATGTCACCGATTTTAAATATAAATATGATTGTTAGCAACGATATATCGCCTGATCAGTTTTTTCAAATTAGAATATCGGTAAATGTTTGTCCTACGACTGTAAACAAAAAAGAAACAAGAGAAAAACAGGATTTTTTTTTCGCCAGAATCTATTTTGCACATTTATAAGTCTACCATTCCTCCATCCATTGAATATTGCTGATCTAGTGCTTCTGCTTTGCATTTAGAGATTCTTGATAAAATCCAAAGAAGAATCTGAATCTTATTGGTCCTGACCTGGCATCTCGGCTTCAGTCCCTTTACTAATACCTGTGCCTTTTTATATAAATATTTTCATGGTAATTGTACTAATGAGCTATCCTCTTTGGTACTTAGACTTTATGCGTAGTACTAGATTTGTCTCACCAACTTACAGTTGAAATGGCTAGATGTACCCGTAAATTCTATGCTAACAGTTTCTTTTCCCGCACTTCTCGCTTGTGGAACTCTCTTCCGGCATTGCTTTCCAGTCGATTTTGATTTTCCAGTTTGATTTTGAATCTAGATGCAATGTCAAACGTTATCTTCTGTCTCCTTAAATCATATTCTTTTATTGTTCTCGCTCCTTAAAAATGTTTTTTTTCATATTCTCTCACACTCAGTAATCCTTTGCATCTTAGTGGCTTTATTTCCTTGTTTGGGCTGAAATGATTAAAAAAATGTCTTTCCCTGATTTCATAAATATGGCCGCTATTTTGATACTGGTGATTGCAGCGCCATCTGTATAGAACACGTTTCATTAATCGACCAACGTCATGGCATAGTTCGTTTTTATTGTTTTTACGATATGACCGTATATAATTAGAAAAGGATTTTGGAAACTTGGCTTTCTCTAAGTTTAGTTTCCGGATTATACGCACACCCTTACCTATATAATTGAATCCATTCTTTAATATGAATCCACAACTTTCAAATCAACCTGAAATAGTTCAAATAACGAAGTTAACACGATCGAATTTTGATATAACTTTTGATCACGTCTTATTTTTTTCAATTTTAATCTGTTTTGTGTTGTCTTTTGTTTGTTTTTTCTTCTTTTTTATTTTCTTTTTTGTTCGGGGTTGTTTGTTTATTTGTTTTCTTGTAGCTATTTGACTATTTTCATCAACCAACTGACAATGTGGATAGTGTAACGGTTAGCAAGTCGGGAAAAAATAGGCGAATAATAATCTTGGAGAAGGCATGAATCCATTAGCCCTACCACCATGCGACAGCTATAAGTGATGGTGGCTTTCTAAGCATAGCTTAGATATGACACAAGGCCGAAAATACTGAGCACCCAGCAAGAATCGAATTCACTTCTCAGTTCCAATGGATCTAGCAAGACAAAATTGCTAGCCATTACATTACGTCGAGGTCTCAAAAAATGATTTTCTGAGTGTAGGTTACAGCAACACAAGGCCGAGTGTGTAGAGCACCCAGTGAGGACTGAACTCACTACTCAATTGGAAGTGATGTAGCGAAACCAACTTGCTAACCATTAAACCACGTCGAAGTGTTCCTACAGTTATGAGTGATGAGAAGATATGAATAAAATTGTTATTGTACAGTAACATCGTAATAGCAATTATTAGCGTAAAAGAACAGCTACATATAAAGGATGTTCCAATAACTTGGACCGATTTTAAAAGTGAATTAAGTTTAAGCGTTTAACATTTTCTTTTTCTTTTTCTTTCAGATTTAACAACTTAAGTCTTTGGCAATTTCAACCATGGAAAGATTAACAATCAAACAACGTGTTAAAGTTATCCAACCCTATTACGAAAATGAACGTTCAAACAGAAATGTATTTTGCGCACATCGCAATTATTTTGGCCAACGTAATCGACCAACCGAGAGTGCAATTGGAAACGATGTAACGTTGTTGTGAAGAGGTTCAATTCCTGCGTGTGATGATGAATAGAGGGGTCTGGATTTTCGGTCACATTCTCATGCACTCTCATTTTCAGCTGAAGAGCGTAAACGAGCGCGCAGTGGTGTTTTCACATCGGCCACCGACCCAGTTTGTTTGAATTTACGAACTATTTTTCCAATTGCAGTCATGAAACGCTAACACGTTGTTTGATTGTTAATCTTTCCATGATTGAAATTGCCAAAGTCCTAAGTTGTTAAATCTGAAATAAAAAGAATAAAATGATTAGACGCTTAAAATTAATTCACATTTAAAATCGGGCCAAATTATTGGAACACCCTTTATGTTTATTCTTGATAAGTGAAGAAATTCTAGTGAATATATTTGGGGGAAAACTGTTCTGTGAAATTGCTTTTTTTCAGTCGAATATATTTCTCGTGTTCAGGTATTAATAACAGCAAACAGACAATCAAACTCTTCCCATTTATATATAGTATCATAATAATAATCAGAAATTTTAGAATAATTTACATTTAAATAGACACTTCTTGCTGTCTGTCGGATCTGTGGATCTGTTTAGAATCAAACTGTCGTTTTCGGGTAATTCTACCTCGTTTCACGACTCCGCTAGTCCTGGGTATGACGATAAACTAAATCCGGAAGCAAGGCCTCTGATCGGGAGATTAGAGGTTTTGTGGGGGTTGGAACCACCTCTTAATTGCCGTTGTTTCCATGGGCACCCTAACCCGAGGTGGTAACATCTGTTAGGGTCTAAGCTATAGGCAAATAGGGAACC